TTTGGACTTCCTCCCTGAGTATCATTGGCTCAAGATCATATGGTACCTCTTGAAATGGCTGAACATTAACCATTTCCTTTTGGTACAATGACTCTGTGTATTCCTTCCCTCTTCTCTTCATGCATTCTGCATCATTCAATAATTTGCCCAGAGAATCTTTCAATAACGAAAGTCGAGGCTTAAATCTTTTCTTCATTTCCCCCAGCTTGAGAAATGCTGAGCGTGTTCTTCCTTTTTGGCTTTCTGATTCCAAATCTTTGCATATTATTTTATTATAATATATGGCTTTATTTTCTTGAGCTGATATTTGAAAGGAGGGATTCGTGCACGCTTATCACAATGAGTTAGAACCACTCAATAGCACGTAACAACAACAAAAATTCAATATTATATTGGAAGTACTAGTTAGAGCAAATAAGGCAAGAAAGGGAAATAAAAGGAATAATTGTAATGGAAGAAGAAGTGAAACTATCCATATTTGCAGATGACATGATCCTATACATAGAAAATCCCAGAAACTGCATAAGAAAGTTACTGGAACTAACAGAAGGATTTTAGCAAAGTGGCAGGGTACAATATCAACACACAAATCAGTAGCCTTCTCTACACCAACAAAGAGAAGTATGAGAAGGAAATAAAGAAAACAATACCATTTACAATAGCTCCCTGCAGCCCCCACCAACACAAAAACCTAGGAATAAACTTAACAAGAGACATAAAAGAATTATACAAAGAAAATTATAAAACACTACTCTGAAAAACTAAGAGATATAAATAAATGGAATAACATCCCATGCTCACAGATTGAAATATTTAATATTGTGAAAATGGCAATACTACAAAAGCAATCTACAGACACAATGCATGCAGTCCAAATCCTAAAAACATCCTTTAATGAAATGGAAATAATCTATAACTTTATATGGAAAGGAAGGAGGCCCCAAATAGCTGAAGCAACATTGAAGAAAAAGAAAAAAATAGGAGACCTCACACTTACCGATGTCAAATTTTACTATATAGCCATGGTAATAAAAACAGTCTGGCACTGGTACCAGACAGATATAGATATGGAATATAATTGAGAACCCAGAAGTAAATGTATCAATCTTCAGCTAATCTTCAGCAAAGGCTAAAAGTTCATTCAATGTGGAAGACATAATCTGTTTAACAAATGGTGCCAGCAAAAGTGGTACAAATGCAGAGAAATAGACAGGATTCACATCTCACATCATGTACAAAAATGTCGTCAAACTGAATCAAAGACTTAAATGTTAAAGCTAAAACCTGGAATATAACATAGGGTCAAAACTAAGGGACCTAATTTTTAGAATAATTAGGCTATCAAGACTAAAGATACACTGTTGATGGACACTTGAGTTTTTTTCACCTTTTTGCTTTTGTCAATAGTGCTGCAGTGAACATTGGTGCACAGCTTTCTGTTTGTAGCCCTGGTTCTAATTGTCTACCTGGGATTGGAAATTACTGAGTTATATGGTAGGGAGTTCTATGCTTAGCTATTTCATTATTCCCACCAGCAATGGTTGAGGGTTCTGATTTCTACAAATCTTGGGCAACATGTACTATTTTCTGTTCTGTTTTGTTTTGATCACAGCCATTTTTGTGGAGATAGAGTGGTATGACATCATGGTTTTGGTTTGCATCTCGCTAATGAACTCCTGGTGTGGAGCTTGTAGGATCAGCACTGGATTGTGAACCACAAGTTCAGCAGTTCAAACCACCAGCTGCTTCTCAAAAACTCTACACAGGGTCGCTACGAAGTTGATCAGAACCAACTTGATGGCACTTAACTTCAATGACTAATGCCAAAGAGTGCTGGTGACACAATGTGTAAGTGGATGGCCGCAAACTGAAAGGTTGTCAGTTAAAACCTAAACAAAAAGTATGTGGACAGACCTTCTATAACAGACGCAAACAGAAGTATTTATAGATGAAATCTCATTAAAAAAATCCTAGTAGGACAACTTCAAGGTCTATACCAAATAATTAATCCTTTATGAAGCTATTAAATACCCCAAACCTTCAACACAACATGTAACATTCACAAGGTATTATGTGCTATGCATTACTGTAAGGATGCTGGGTGAAGGAGACAGATAAATACCGTCCTACCTTTAGGAGTTCAGTCTAATTGGAGAGAGTTACATAAACCAACAATGACCACAGTATGATTTAGGCTTTGAAGGAGGTGAACATAGGGGCCCACGGGACCAATGAAGGGTCCTAATCCAGTCTGGTAGTGGGAAGAGAGAAGAATCTCAAAATGTGGTGCCTAAAAGTACACAGGAGTCCTTTGAATCACAAGATTCACCAGTTGCTCCTTGGAAACACTATAGAGAGTCTCTCTGAGTCGGAACTGACTTGACAGCCCTTAAACACAACAAAGGCACAAATAGGGTCCTCCAGGCAGCTGCTAGCCTGGTGATTCAATGTTGTCTTTTTTATAAGAATGTCACTCTTGTTCTTACCTTTCTCTCGAGGACAGGATCTACCTTAGTCATCATTAGTGCCTACTGTCCAATAGGTATTACTACATATTGAAGTCTTAACAGGGGAGTAGTAAATTAAGGTCTTGCTTTTCTTTTGTGTGAATGCCTTGATTTCAAACTTCAGTAGTGACCATACATTTTAACAGAGGCTAAAGACTAAAATAAAATAATTTTATACCACACTGACTCTATTTTCTAGCTTCAAAATAATCAACAATGGCTTTCACCAACATGCTTACCATTTTTGTTTTTCTGACTAGGATCTGCTCCACTTTTTAGAAGCTTTAAGGCACACTGCTTATGAGCTCGGTAAGCTGCACAATGCAACGGTGTATTTCCTAATTGATCCGAACAGTTAACATCAGGAGGATTGGGCCTGTTGAGCTAAAGATTAAAGAAATGCACGGAGAGTCACATATCAAAGACAGACTTTCTTCTCTAAGACACACAACGGTGAAGGTGAATGTTCCAGGTGAACTCATACTATAGACCTGGAGCACAGCTGGGCTCCTGGGCACTAGACTACCAGAAGTTTCTTGCTCATGGAGCCCACCAACCCAGTCACTCTCCTGGGTCATTCTCCATATGCCACCAAATCTCAGGCCTGTGTCCAGGGCCCACACTTCTCTGACAGTAGACACCAGCACCACCTACCGACCTCTGGAAATTACTATTTAACTAAGACTTGCTCCTTCCTTCCAGTCTTGTAGTTCAAACTCATGACAGGAGAACTATAAATCAGCCTACCATTATTGGTACTGGGAAGAGTTAATACCATAAATGCTGAATGTGTAAACGTCAAAATTCTACTGAATCGGCTGCTCTCACTTACTGTTTTAGAAACTTCTTTATACTGTCTCTATCTCACAAAAATGTTTTAGGCACTATATTTGGAAACCAAAGGAGTCTTTTTAAACGAGCCAAAGTAACTTAAAAGCAAATGGCAATGTTTCAAGTCTTGAACTCAGAAAAAATTTAGAGTTTCATGCTTAATGAGACTATGTAGGAAATGGAAGCTGGAAAGTAGGTCTCCTAAGACGACCTAGACACACACACAGAGCAGATAATGCTTCTAGTCTGCTCTAACTTCCACATGCTGTATTTCAAATACTTCTTCCTCTGCCCGTTACCTTCAGGAAGTAGTTACTATTCTTTTCAGACTGTACTGCTCATCAAAACTAAAGAAATATATTCCATATTTCCTTATTGGGGGTGGGATGGGGTGGGTTCTTTACACTAATCATGGGCCTGGAAAAGCTGGATTCCTAGCCATCAGGTTCTCAGCGGGTAGGGGAGGGATGGGTGGAAATAAAAAAATCAAAAAGACACACCCCAGTTGAAAATGTGTTCTACTTACACTATGGCCATTATAGTGCTTTTAGACACTTAACATTTTTTGCTGTATTATTATGACCTCTGGAATTTTCATTCCCACAATTAAAGTCAAGTGAGAAATTTCCTAAAGTATAAAGTAAAGAAATATTCTCTGTTGCAGCTGCTTACCAGTGCAGTGAGTTCTGCTGCTTTGCCTTCTCGAGCTGCTGCTAAAAGTAATTCTTCAAGCTTTCTTTGTTGAGTTCTTTCTACAGCTGGGAAAGGAAAGTACATATTACTGTATTTCTAATCAGAAGGCTATTCACACGTTTATTACAAAAGTGCATAAAGAATAAAGTGATTGTCCTCAGAAAAAGCAAATATTTTGAATTCTAATTCAAATCCACTTAGACTTTATTGTCATTCCCACTGCCTCACATTTCACAGTACAGGGCTGGATGAATTTACATTTCCAATTCACTATGTTAACCAACACAAAGAATTCTCAATTATTTTGTATACTGAAATGTTATCACATATGTGCCATGGTCAGGTAGGTGAGTGATGTTCATCCTTTTGATCATGAGACTCAGAATGTGAACAGAAAAGTAAGAATAGAAACTAACACTGGTTAAGAAGATGCACGAACCATATAAATATACTGACATTTATACTACTTTGTTTACATTTATATACTTACTAAATAACACGTGGAGTCCTGGTACGGCACTGTAGGATAAGCACTGGCCTGCAAAGTCAATTTTAACTACAAGGTTGGTAGTTCAATTCTACTAGCTGCTCCTTGGAAACCCTATTGTTGATGTTGTTAGGTGCCATCGAGTCTGGACTGACTCATAGTAACCCTATGCACAACAAAATGAAACACTGCCTGGTCGTAGGCCAACCTCACAGTTGTTGCCACGCTTCAGCCCATTGATGCTGCCACTTTGCCAATCCATCTCGCTGGGGGTCTTCCTTTTTTTCTTTGACCCTCCAGCTTACTGGAAAATAGGTCTCCTAAGACGACATGATATCCTTCTCCAGACTGGTCACTCCTGACAATATGTCTGAAATATGAGAGATGAAGTTTGGCCACCTTGTCCTCCAAGGAGCACTCTGGCTCTACTTCTTCCAACACAGATCTGTTGGTTCTTTTGGCAGCCCAAGGCACTTTTAATATTCTCCTCTAACACCATTAACTCAAAAGCATCAATTTTTATACAGTTGGAATTCCTTATACACTGTGCAGCTTTCACATGCATATGAGGTTATTGAAAATACCATGGCTTGAGTCAGGTACACCTTAGTCCCCAAGCTGACATCTTTGCTCTTCAACACTTTAAAAAGGTCTGCACTGTGCAGTAGGTTTGCCTAATGTAATACATCGTTTGATTTTTTGACTGCTGCTTCCATGAGTGTTGATAGTTGATCCAAGAAGAATGAAGTCCTTGACAACTTTAATCTTTTCTCCATTGATAAGAACGTTGTTTATTGGTCCAGTACTAAGGATTTTTGTTTTCTTTACATTGAGATGCAATCCATACCGAAGGCTGTGGTCTCTGATCTTCATCAGTAAATATTTTAAGTCCTCTTCACTTTCAGCAAGCAAGGCTGCATCATCTGCATATCGCAGGTTGTTAATGAGCCTTCCTCTAATCCTGATGTCACGTTTTTAGGACCGTAATTAGAACTGACTGGACAGCACTTAACAACAATTAAATACTATAAAACATACCATGTGATAGCTGAAAACGAGTCAATTTCATTAAATGTACTTTTTGCTAAAAAAAAAGTCTAAGCAAAGGTTTGTGCATAGACATTATGTTATTAGGTGGTGAATGTTTATTTGCAAAAAATTAAGTAAGCCTATACTGGAGTTAGTGAAAGCCATGCTTTAAATAAATCTCTCCATTCACAAAAAAGTTTTTATATTGAGGGTTCTACTCAGAAATGGAAAATTTCTTAATGGATGTATGATTTACATACTTAACTCTCTCTAATAGTGTCATAATAGGTCCCTTAATAAATGTCACCAGATAAAATGGCATTGTAAGGTTAATTTGGGAGTCTCTGCATTTCAAATATTAGCCAAAGATTCCTGTACTGTAAAAATAGGTCACAGGAAAATATATGGTGCTATTCAAGTCCCATAAAAGTTAAGCTTTCAGCATGGGTTTAAATTCTTTCATTCCAAGTCATAATTTGCAAAACAGAGTTGACATTACTATTCTCATACTTCACAGCTGTGATCTTAGGATTAATTGATATGCACAATGTACATAGTAGGTTTTCAGCACAGAAAATGTTGGCTGCTAATTTAACAGTTATTTGCTATGATTTTCCTCTTCCAAAATACCAAAAATACAATATGATTATTATGGAAAAGAAAAATACCATACTATGTGACAAGGGCTATTCAAAGGAGCTCTGGTAGCGTAGTGGTTATGAATCGGGCTGCAAACCGCAAGGTCAGCAGTTCGAAATTACCAGCTGCTCCGCGGGAGAAAGATGAGGCTTTCTGCTCCCGTAAAGATTTACAGTCTCAGAAACCCTGTTCAGGGTCGCTATGGGTCAGAACCGACTCGACGGCACTTAACAACAACTATTAACTTATTAATATTATTGAGTAGTAGTTCTTTATTAGGTATGTTTTACTATACTATTATCCCCATTTACAGATAAAGAAACTGAGGTATCAAGATAAAGGAACTTAACCAAGGTTGCACAGGGAAGTGGAGGAGCTGGGAATTGAACTCGGGCAGGTTTCTTCCAGAGTTCATGCTCTTAAAACTACTCTATACTGCTTCTCACATGCAGGGAAAAAGGGGCAACTGTCAATCTGTTTTGTTCGCGACTGGAATATGTAAAAAGGTCTCATTTCTGCTAGGTCTCAATTTTGTTTTGGCTTACAGAATAGAAGTAAATTCATAAAAAGGTTTAATAATTCCATGCACTCAAAATGTGTGTACAGTGTCCCATGCAAAGGCTGCAAGGGAAGGAACTAGAACAGTCTTTTAAGGTCTTCTTGGCCCGTGATTGAAGAAAACAGATAAATTGCTATGTGCTAATTGTTGTTCAAGACAATAAACATATCATCCTATTTAAACTACAGGGAACAAGCATAATGAATACAAGAATAGCTGAAACAAGTTTAGTTTTATCTAAAGAAATGATTAGCATTATATTCTATCCTCACAGTTCTATTTCCATTCCCAGACCCCTCTTTACCTGAGAAAGAAGGTCAAAACCTCAACACAGGCCCCCAATGCTACCTTCTTTTGCTGAAATTCAGGATATTCAAGTCATGTGTTCTTCACTGGCTCCTCTTTCTGGCTTCTGGAGATCAGGAATACCTTTATTTTTGTACTTACCTCTACAATTTTAAGTATACCCTTACGTTATAATATATGCTTCTCAGGCATTCTTGAAGTCAAGACCCTGTTCTTATTCTTCTTCATATTGCAAGCATTTGTAACAATGTTTATTTAGCACAGTGCACACTTGAGCAAATAAATAGTTACTGAATAATCAAATAATGCTTAATGTTAGTTACAGATTTTATGGAAAGGAAGTAAAGGGCTCATTCATGTTTTTTTCTAGACTGTCTAGGTTCATAATAAGGGATTCAGAATTGAAAACCTGTATATGTTCCTGGACTGTGTAATCACATTTGGTGGAGGGATGGGGTGCTAGAATGCTGGTAATTCTCCCTTTCTAGATGTGATTCCATTTGTGAAAACAATGAGCTGTTCATTAATGAGGCATATTTTCATGCATATACTTTATTAATCAGTACACTGTTTTAAAACAGGTGGTCCCAGACTGACTGCTTCTTTGAGTTATAAGATGAACTGCACTTACACCCGTCTGGTTTTCTTTTATGCAAGTACATCGTATTGTTAGTAATATGCACTACATACAATGCTACAGGACATAATTGGCTGAGGTTATCATTTTCAGACGCTCATTCACAGATATGTTCAATGTTATGATTTATAATGATGCTAATAATAAAGACAATAAAAATGAAAACTAATATATATATGGATTAGACTTACATCATCAGAACCAATCTACAGTAAAGTGATCAAAAATTGGAACCCCATCATAAATCAGGGACTGCCTGTACTTCAAATCCAAGAAAACATGTCCTGAACAATTTTAATTGAATACAACTAAAATCCAACTCTTTATGTTTCTTTTCAATAGAATTCAGAAGGCAGTACGAACCTGTGTATTCATGATTCATGAAGTCTAATTCAATCCTCAGACCTGCCTTCTCATATGTCACCTGACTCTCAGTTGCTGTACTTATAGTGTGTCCATCCTGCAGTTATATATTCCTTCTATATTTCTTGCTGTTTCAGTCTGTCAGCCACATGCCCTCACAGGTCCAATTTTCTGCCTTTAGAAATTTAAAAAGTAAATAAAAAAACTTGCCATCATTTTGTATAAAGTAAGAGTTTAAAAGCTGTAAATGATGGCTTGAGGAAATGATCATAAATAAGTGTGTCTCTAACCAATGACTTGTGAAAATTATCTCTGGAACAAAGGATTGATGTCTTGTATTTTGACATCTCAGAAGACATTTTTACTTATACTCTGGATCTTAGCTATAACTCAAGAAACAGATAACTATATTAAGATCTATAATACTTACCTTCAAGCATATTTCTGATTTCTTTGTCATGAGTGACTTCTTTTGCTGTCTGTCCACTCCCATTAACAACAGTGGTATCAGCATTATATTCCAAGAGTATCATTACCAACTCCTGAAAAAACAAAAGAAATTTGGGAGCTGTAGGATAAGTATTCGACTACAAAGTCAGACTGAACACAAGGTCGGCGGTTCAAATTCACCAACTGCTCCTCGGAAACCTTATACAGGGTCGCTGTGGGTAGGAACTGACTTGCTGTCACTTAACAGTTGCTGTCAAGTCAACTGCAGCTCATGGCAACCCCACATGTGTCAGAGAACTGTGATTCACAGTGTTTTCGATGGCTGATTTTCCAAAGGACTAATAACTTCTCAGGTACCTCAGGGTGGACTCAAACTTCCAAACTTTTAATGAGTTAACCATCTCTACTACCCAGGGACACATAAGAGAAACGGCACTTTGTGGGGCTCTTTATAGCACATCAGCTATGATAAGTGATTCATTGACTGACTGTCCCAGGGCTATAAAGTCCTGGCCCTCTTACCCAAGCTCAGAGCAGTAAGAACTCCTCATAGAGTTGGCTGGGGGCATTTCAAAGAGACTGCATCACAGCCTGACAATCTCTCTGCCCAAGCCTGCTTCCTGGCCCCATCTCCAATTCCCTCCCACATCCTCCACAGGGGTTAAATGCCACAACCACCTCAATTAACCTGATGCTCACTAATCATCTTCTCAGTCAGCTACAACCTACACCAAATGTCAGTATTGACACCGGTATTCCAGGGTTGTTGTTTAGCATGAAATGCAATGATGTATGTCTAATCGACTGAACAGTACCTGACACACAGTAAACATTCAGTACATAGTACGAGAAATGAAATCTGAGAGAACAAAATAGAAAACTATGCAAACCCCAGGATTATCTGTGTCTTTTGTATTCCACATGAGAGAGAAATACTTCTTGAAACAAGGAACATAGTAAGCATTTGGTTTCATTATATACTGAATTCTGCTAGGAAATCATAACAAATAAAAACAAAGGTAAGTGCCACAGTCCAATTATGTACTATATTATCATATACCTTTCTTTAAATCAATTACAGGAAAAAAATTCAAAATTGTAACGGCATCTGAAATATAAAGTAAGGAACAAATGATAAATAAATACTTCTTTTTAAAAGCCTAGTACATTAATTTTAACCACAGAACCCTACTGTTGTTGTTAGTTGTAATTTATACAAAAGATTAGTTAAATCTATTTATTAGAACTATGACAGTGGGAAACAATATGTAATAAACCCATTCCTCTTTGTTGTTAGGTGCTGTTGAATGGGTCCCAACTCAAGAGTGGCCCTGTGTACAGAAGAATGAATCACTGCTCAATCCTGCACCCGCTTCACACTGTTGTGCTTAAGCCTACTGTTGCAGCCACTGTGTCAGTCCTCTCATTGAGAAATCTTCCTCTTTTTTGGCTCACCCTCTACTTTACTAAGCATGATGTCTTTTTCCAGAGACTGGTCCCTCCTGGTAACATGTCCAAAGTTCATGAGACACAGTCTCACCAACCTTGCTTCTGAGGAACATTTTGGTTGTACTTCCTTCAAGTCAGTTCTGTTCATTCTTACGGCAGACCATTGTTGTTGTTGTTGTTAAGTGCCGTCGAGTCGGTTCCGACCCATAGCGACCCTGTACAGGGTTTCCGAGGGTGTAAATCCTTACGGGAGTAGAAAGCCTCATCTTTCTCCCACAGAGCAGCTGGTAGTTTCAAACCGCTGACCTTAAGGTTCGCAGCCCGATTCGTAACCACTATGCTACCAGAGCTCCTACAGTCAATATTCTTTTCCAACACCATAACTGACAGGCATCAATTCTTTTGTTATCCTTATTCACTGTTGAACTTTCACAAGCATATGAGGTAACTGGAAACATCATGGCTTGGATCAGGTGCACCTTAGATATCCAAGTAATATCTTCTATCTTTTTAACACTTTAAAGAGGTCTTTGCAGTGGATTTGCCCATTTGACTTCTTGACTGCTGCTTCCATAGGTATTGTCTGTGGATCCAAGTGAAATTAAATCCTTGACAACTTCAATCTTTTCCCTGTTTACCATGATGTTTCTTACTGGTCTAGTTGTGAGTATTTTTGTTGTTGTTCAAGTGTCATCTAACTAAAGGCTGTAGTCTTTGATTTTCATCAACAAGTGCTTTAATTACTTTTCACTTTAAGCAACGTTGTATCACCTGTGTATTACAAATTGTTAGTCTTCCTCTAATGCTGAAGCTGTGTTCTTCTTCATATAGTCCAGCTTCTCAGCTAGTTTGCTCAGCATACAGACTGAACAACTCTGATGCACACTTTTTTTTATTTATTTCAAAAGGAGCATCCCCTTTTTCTGTTTGTACAGATTCCACATGGGCACTATTAAGTATTCTGAATTTCTCATTCTTTAACATTTTATCCACAACTGTTATGATTCACAATGGAATGTCTTTGGGTAGTCAATAAGACACAGATAAGCATTACTGTTTTTTAACTCATAATGCATATAAGCTTTCCAATTGTAGGATTATAACTAATGTTTAGAGATCATGCTGGGCTTGTCCATAATTAGAATAAAAACAATATACTCCTGTGTCATAGTTAATTTACCAAATCTTTCAAATAATCTTTTAAAAACCAAAAAAAAAAAAAAAGACTGAAAGAAACTTCTGGGTATGATGGTATTAAAAGATCAGAGAAAGGGAGCAGAGCAAGATGGCAAAGATACACTGTGGGAGCGGCGCGGGAGGCAGCTGACCTCCTCTGAATTCAGGACCAGAAATGTTTAAGATACAGTTCTTTGGTTAGGACAGCTTTTTGCCTATGGGCAGGCTTCTCTGGGGCCTTCAGTCCCTTGGCCTCGTCTCTGCCCTGCCTGGGCAGTGTTACAGATCTCTTTTTGCACTGCTGATAGTGCCCAAAGGGCATTCTAATCTGCTCTAAGCCTCAGACTGAAAGCACTTAGCCTCAAAACACTCAGCTTTAGCTCTGTGAGTCAGGGAACACAGGTCCCCAACCAAGTGCCTGAAGGCACTCCACTCTGCAAACAAGCTTCCCACCTGAAGACTCTTAGTTTTACTTGCTCGGTGGGCTCAGGAGGTTTGTCTCTGGCTCTTGGTTTGCGTCTGCTGATCCTATGTCACAGCTCTGCCTCCTGGGTCCAGGTTCAACACACAGGGATATAGGGACTCAAAGGATGCACTCTACTTCTGCCTCTTCTTTCTTGTTGATAGTAAAATCCCCCATTCCTACTTCTGAGAGGACACATTTTAAACCCAAGTTAGAGTTCCAAGTCCTTCCAATCACAATTAGCGCTGTTATCAATCACTCACAACTGAGTCATATAATACTATCAGCATCTTTCCCCACCTTCTTTTATCCAGCCCCATCACGAGACAGTTGTTTGGTGGGAGTTACAAAGACTATGGCTAGAATAATCATAAAATAACTCATTGCAAGACACCCATCTACTCTCCCAACAAAATTTTGAAAGCACACACTGAGATATCAGATCTCCAGAAAGCAGCTGAGTCCAGAACTGGGAGAGAGGCCACAGAAGCTGAGAGAACCTACCTGCCTAATACTAGAAACATTCACTCATCACAGCCCTTTTTGAATGGGACTGGGCAATAACCTGAACAGGAGACACAGAAAGGGAGCTAATCTCAGGAAGCAGCAGCCTGATCTTGTATGGTAGTTCACACTGGCTCTGGGAGTTCACAGGCCCTGCAATATAGAGGGGTTGAAAGTGATTGTGGCACTGTGACAGTACTACCAACCCCGCTGAGGAACAAGCACTAGGACCCACCGGAAAAACTGCAAGGGCAGCAGAGCTAAGGGAATACTTTAGACTGATAGGCAGCACAAAGGAAATGGCTGACTCCCTACCCACAGCTGGATACCATGGGTAAGCCTGTGGATGGGCACCTGAAAGAAATCACAGAGAGCCTCCAACCTTCCTCCAGGAAAGTCAAGCGCCACCACAGGTCAGCAGCTGCAGCCAGTTAAATTGCCCCTCCTGCACATGTGTAACTAAGGCTAAGAGTGCCCTCTACTGCTTCTTAGGTGGAGGTAACACTAAGTCCACTGTCACTGGGTCTATTCTGACTCATAGAGACCCTGTGGGACAAAGTGGACATGCCCTATGGGGTTCACAGGGCAGTGAGTCTGTGAAGATGGGCTACTGTGTATTTCTCCCACAAAGTGGCTGCTTTGGGTAAAGGCCCCAGCCTTTCAATGGGCATCCAGGTGCTTGGATGCTGCGTCACCAGGGTATCCAAGTAGAAACAATTTCCAAAAAAGCCACAACACAAAATGTAAAGTTTTTGTGACAAAATTAAGATAAAAAAATAACTAAATGGCCCAAGTTCAACAAAAATGTTGTTGTTGTGAAGTGCCATCGAGTCGGTTCCGACCCATAGCGACCCTGTACAGGGTTTCCGAGGGTGTAAATCTTTACGGGAGTAGAAAGCCTCATCTTTCTCCCGCGGAGCGGCTGGTAGTTTCGAACCGCTGGCCTTAAGGTTCGCAGCCCGATTCGTAACCACTACGCTACCAGAGCTCCTTAAAACACAAAGTCACAAGAAAAGAAGGGGTAAACAAAAGTAAGACATGAAGAAAAGAAAAATTCTACTATGAAGTTCAGTTTAACACAAAAAATTAATAATTTTCAGAGTATGATGCTAAATATATTAAAAGGAAAAAAGCAACCCTAGGACCATCAAGGGAGAGGAGCACGAGCGGAATGCAGGACCTTCTCCAGAAAAACAGCGACACCAGAGATGGAGGCAGAGATGAGGACATGGAGAGAGGGAGCAGTCGAGGCTTCTAAATTCATGGAAAGAGAGGAACTGAGAGCTGGAGGCCAGGAGGCAGACTTGCAGAATGTGCCTTTTGGTGGTATAAATTATTACATATACCTGAGTATTTTTAAAAAAAATAAAAAGAGCTAAAATGAATATAGAGAAATACTGTTGACTGATGGTACATGGAGGGGATTATAATCATTGTAATGAAACAAGTTGTGTGATTTGTTGAATGTAAAACTGATGATCTGCCTTGTAAACTTGCACT